GCCCCCCCCCCCCCCCATGCCCGCCCCCCCCCACACCAGCCACAGGCCTCAGCGGCTCCTGCGCCCCCCCTGCCAAGACTGGGGCCACCCCCTCCGGGCGCCGCTCAGCTGAGCGCTGGCAGCTACCGGTGGGCAAGAAAGGAAGTCTGGTGGCCAGACACCCAGCAGGGCCCCGCGCAGGGTGCGAGTGGCAGCAGCCATGGGCTGAGGGCAGGAGAGGAAGCAAAACTGATCCCAGCAGGAGGAAGGAACGAGTCACTCACGCCAGTTGAGCAACCCACAGGAACGCCCCGCACAGGGGCAGCGCTGCCCCTGCCAGCAAAGCCGCCCCAGCGGAGGAGGCTGCGCCCAGCTGGGCCCACGCCTGTAGCATGGGCAGGAGCATTTCCAGCCCTTTCCCTTCCCTCAGCCCCACGCTTGCCCACGTGCCCGGGTGCCCGGTTACTGTTTGGGGTTCTACAGTCCCTGCTCCGCCGGCCAGGGCGGCCACCAGGCCCAGCCAGTCACAGCTGCCGCCAACTGGCCCCAGGCTCAACCCAGAGCAGGTTCCTACAGCATCGTCTCACTGGCGCAGCACAGATCCAGCCCTGGGTTTATTGCCAAAACACGCCAGGTGACGGGCACCGGTTCCATTGTGTGCGAGCGTCCGGACGCTGCATAGCCTGGGGGAGGGCGCTGAAGGCCAGGAGCCCGGCGTATTCCCAGTGCTTGTTCTCTGGCACGTTGCTGATCATCCAAGGGCGCCGGCACGGAGACACAGATCGGTTCCTGCCTGTTCTTTACTGGGCCAGTTCTGCACAGGCCTCAGCTAGCCAGCCCCTCAGACGCTGCAGCCGGCATGTCTCAGCGCTGCCTGGTTCATGGATCCCATTAAGCCAACTCCCCCGTGGGGTTCACTTTGGCTAGAGAGGTCCTGGCAGGAGTGAGCCAGCAGCGCCGTCCCCTCGCTATTCAGCTGCCCCTTGATCTGAGCACCCAGGCGAGCCAGGCTGCTGGTGCCCACCTCATTCAGGGCTCTGACCCACCACCCTGCCAACATACACACCTGGCTGGCGCTCTGACCCCTCCAAACTAGGGTCACCACAAGGACACCAGACTGACTGCACTGCCACCAGGGCTGGCCTAACATGGGCAGGCCCCCTTGGGCTAGGCTTGCTGCGCCACCGACCTCCAGCCAAGGACTCCTGCACGTTCCCTGAACGCCACGTTCCTGAGACACAGCGCAGCGAGTCCGCTTCTCACGGCGAGGCTCGGTTATTCCTTCAGCACTGGTTTCCTGCAGTGCCCCCCCCCACTGCCCCAACGCCCTTTCTGAGCCAAGTGACAACCTCTCTGGCACTGGATAGACACAGGCTAACCCCACCCCCAACCCTGCAGGTTGCCCCGTTGTACCAATGGGGAAGAGACGAAGCCGAGCACGGCGCTAGTCAGAGACCCAGGATGAGAACCCAGAGGCCTGGCTCCCAGGTGTGCGCACAGACTGGCAGATCTGTCCCCCCCAAAAGAACAACTGCAGATGAGCGTAAGAGTCCTTCCGGCGCAGCCAGGGCCAGAGGGAAGTCTTAGTGGGAGACCCCCGCAGTGAAAGGAGACTAGTCCCTGCACTCACCAGTAGGCCTGCCCCCCCATCCATCTGTGCTCAGTACCGGGCCCTCCGACAGCAGCGACGCAAACCTCCCAGAGCCCCCCGTGTTCCTCAACGCTGCCCTGCGGGCACCAGGGCCCGGAGCCCCTGAGCCAGGATGAGACACACGGGGCCTCGGGCCAACATCCAGCTGAAGGACCAGCCCAGGCCAGGCCAGGCCAGCTCAGCCCAGACAGCCCTGGTGGGGG